ACTGTCTATCTCGGTGGCGCAGTGGTAGCGTATGCGATGTGCTGAGGTCTCGGGTTCGATTCCCGGGTGGGACCAAAAATGATCTGCAAATATTTGTTTCGGAGTTTGTTTTCTATATATAACTAGCTGAGACCCGCGGTGTTACCCGCGTTTGTTGTTATAACCGCGGGCAACGCCGCGGGGCAAAGCTAGTCTGAAAAGAGTAGCCTAAGTTACTCCTTATGTCATCAGCTATCTGCCAGTGAAAGTCCCATCGAAATCGGTCCAGCCGTTCCAGAGATTACCCGGAATAAACAGACAGACAGACAGACAAAAATTAAAAAAAAATGTTATTTTGGCATATGTACCGTGTAAACATACATATGCATTTAGTAAAAAGCGGTTATTTTAATATTACAAACAGACACTCATATTTTATTTATTTGTATAGATATGTGTGTATTTAAAAAAAACGTATATATATATATTCTATCAGTCAATCTAGTTCTTCTCACGCACGGCAGTCTGATCCCAAACTAGACAGACCCTGTACTATGGTAACCAGACTGCTAATAAACTTACTTATATATTTCTATATACATACATAGCATAGATAAATTACACTCAGACATAGAACAAATCATCCTGCTCATCACACAATTATTTGTGCTGGGTGAGAATCGAACCCACGACCTCCGGCTTAGCAGTCAGGGTCACTAACCACTAGACCAACAGGCCCGTCAATTGCATGCGACTTGTCATAGGTTTAATTTTTACTGTTTGCAGGAGTTGTATATTATGTCATATGACATATTATCCGTATAAAAATAAACCTAAACCTTGGGAACGCCATTGTCATACACTTAATGACAAACGAAACCGTGTGTTTGTTCACATAATACAAAAAATACAATAATGATAAATTATAATTAAACGTCATTGTTGTCCCTTTAATTGTCATCCTTAGAGGTCAAATACTGTCTTCAAATTAAAATTTCTTTTAAAAAATCACATGCTCTTGCATCCTCCAAGCGCCTATTTATATGTACTATTAATAATAATAATATTGTACCACATTCACACAACGCCATCTAGTCCCAAACTAAGCAGAGCTTTTACTATGGGTACTAGACAACTGATATACTTACATATATACTTTTTTTTTTGTAAATACATACATATTATATATGTAGTTACATAGAAACACCCAGACTAAATCAAACATTAAATGTTCATGCACACAAATGTGAATGAATCGAACCCGCGACGTTTGGAATAGCAGTCCGTTACACAAACCACTAGGCTATCCGGTCGTCTAAATATATTAGGTTGGTAGGTAGGTCTAATATATTAGGTTGGTAGGTAGGTCTAATATATTAGGTTGGGGTTGACTTTAAGTCTACTACGATACGGCTAAACTTCGATTTCAGACCTCCACAACCTAAGTACTAGGCGATATCGAACTTCTGTAGAAATACTTTTTAGGGCTCCCAACTTTTCGTAACGATTGCTACAGCTGTTCGTATGGCTCCTACATCATGTAAATTCTTCATTTTTTAATGTCCACCACCACGTCCATTCTTCTTTCCTTTTTATAAGTGGCATTTCCTTCGACCAAACGGGAAATACACGCTCCTTAATAAAAAATATATTTTTCAAATCGCTTCATACGTTACGAGGATAGAATACCGAATTAGGAACATTTTCCTGTTTTCAAGTCGGTATAAAGGAGTTTATTACTATTATATAATTTTATGGTAACGATGGGTATTTCTTCTAGACATCAATTATTATCCTCTTGAATTGAAAATGTAAGAGGAAAATGTTTAAGATGTGACTTGTGAATCGATTTTTATCGAGAAAGAATAAATTTAAAAGTGACTTTTTTGTCTGTAACGCCTTCACGCCTAAACTTCTAAACCGATTTTTGAAATTCTTTTACGAATGGAAAGCTACATTATCAGTGAGTATTATAGGCTACTTTTTAACCGACATATACGCTGGCGGAGTCGCGGGCATAAGCTTGTGATAAAGATAAAGTAGGTAAGTAAACAATGGATTATTACTTTTAATTGTACTTATTTTATTATGTTTATACTAATACAGTAACTATAAAAAAACACAGTGCAAATTTAATAGTTCTTATTCTTAATCTCTTCATTTTGCCCCCTTAGGGTTAGCAACAATAGATTAAAGTCAACTGGCCATTTCACCTTGTACAAAATATTTGTTTTACTTTTGAAGTCAGGCTAATTCTTGAGCAATGTTTTCCTAAGACGTACTTTCTATTTGCATTACGAATGCAAATAGAAACGAACGTTAATCAAATATTAAAGTAATTACAAAACTTAGAATACTGAGTATGAACATCAATTCTGGTAATAAAAAAATATTCAAAATTCAGTTTCGATCTACTCTCGATCTCATAAATATCATAAAAGGTATTTTCATAGTAAAGTATTAAACATACAAAGTTGACTGTAAGGTCATTATATCGTATTGTGACCCAAAGTTGAATCGGTATACTGCTAATCTTAGTAATACTTTACTACGAGATTACCTTTATGACATTATGAAACCGATAGTGGATCGCAATTAAATTTTGAACGAATTTTTATTACGAGAATTGATTCTTCATCAGTTTCACTTTAACAAATAGTGCGTTTCGACAACCAATACACCAGTTATTAAATATTATACGTACATCGCTATAAGTTTGCCTATTTCTTGCCTATTTCTCTATTATACCATCATCAATACCCGACCTGATTATAAATAATTAAGACGTAAGCATATTTATGTATGCAGGAAACTGCATAACAAAGAATAATTATTATTCCTTGTTTCATGCAGGAAACGGTGCAAAGAAATGGATATTTTGCACTCACTTTTTTCGTTTACGCTCGTTTTGAAGTATCAAATAATGAACATTTAATTTTTAATTATAATCACGGCTTTATATACGGACGAATGTTACAAGTCAGACCTTCAACGGACAAAACTACACTCAATAAGAGAGCATTGAACTAAACGTATAAAATAACACAATATAATATATATCAACTACTAAGTAGTTTGAAAGCAATTAAATTTAACGTAACGGAATTATTTTTAAGCAAGTCCAAAGTCGCAAAAAGAGGTTTTCGGTTCTTTTTTTTTAAACGTATGATAACCTCATAATTCCGTCATTTAAAAACCAATTTGAATAAAAAAATACTATTTTCTTAAATAAATCTATACCTTGTAAATATTAGTATGAAAATACTGTATCGTAAAGGCTCTAGTGTAGTCCCGCGTTTAAGCGGTTCTGTTTTAATACTGACTTTTGAACATTACGAGTCCCAGCCTGACTGAGCCTTAGTCAGTCTTCAGCCAATTGTTTGTCGTAAATAAAATAATTAACGAGAAATGCAGTAGTTTGAGAGGTCGAAATAATGCACATGGAAAACACAGTAATATCTTCGTTTCATTCTAAATATAAAATATTGCAAAATATTGCATTTCTATTTCCATTCCTTACATACATATATAACAAAATGTTCTCATTTCAGACATTGCCTTAAAACGCCGCGCTTCAAGCGCTTTTGCATCAAGTATCTCCCATGCATTCTTATCTATTCCGCCGTGTCAATATTGACACTGTAAGCCTTTGTTCCGAAGTTCTTTGTCTGAACTTAATGTTATAGATACTATTAGTAAACTTAATGAATATTATGCACAGAAAATATTTTTGTTCTTTATAATGGATTATTGTAATGTCCGTGTAATGACAGATTAAGAATACGGAGTGTCACACTCTAAGAGGCATATACCTCTCCTTAGAAGTCCACTTGAGTCCACTGCTATATATATATAGTGGACTATTGAAGTCTGTAAAACCTGAAAATATCTGGCGATAGCAATAATGTAACCGAAGGTATCAAAATTTTACCTGTTAAAGGCATTATTTGTTGTGCAATGCGATGTCGGAGTCGGTAGTCGGTAAATGAAGTTGAGTAACCTAATATGGCTCTCTTACAGCTTACCATCCATTTTAGAAAATGCTCAATTTTGATTAATTTTGGTCTTTACAGCTCTTCTGATAGACTACATTTTAGCTTATTGTAAAACACGCATATACGTCTATGCGTGTAATATATATTGAGAATTAATGTACTCGTAATATTGAAAAAGGTTTCTGTTTCCTGGTTTGGCCTGGTGCCAATCATCTTCGTCATGTCTGAATAATTTATCACATACAAAAAGCAAGATATAATTGACTTGACGTTCTTCTAAGCCCAGAGATTCCATAGTTAATTTTTTGCTTATTTTTAATTATGCACAAATTCTGTTCATTGGAGGTTTGTGAATTTCGAACGCAAAAAATAACCTTCTACAGGCCTAAATTTATACAACGAATCTACGTAATTTGTGTAAGTGAAGGTTATATTTTATTTTTGTACTGACATCTTGGAGCCAATCATGATAATCACAAGCGAATTGAGGACATTCCTTTTTCATATAAAATGACTAGCTGTTCTACTTCCTATGACAACAGATCTGTGATACAGATTACCTATTAGCACTGCATTAATGTAGATAAGTAGGGTAAAACATTGTCTAGTCAAAGCATTATATATAAGTCAAAATAGTTAGGTATATATTTGTACGAAATATACTTTCAATGTTATTTAAATGGTTCTAATGTAAATAAAACTGGTAAGAAATTATTTTATTGTTCGAGTTGATGAATTAATTTATTTAGGCATCTACATAATTGCCTTATTATAACGCGATTATCGGTTACCTTAAACAGTTACGACACTAATACTGTCATTTGTAGTTACCAACCCTCTTTCCAAGAAGCTTAGAAGATTCTGATTAGCAATTAAGAGACGATACAATTACAGAACGACTCTGTAAGTGCTGTCTAATTAACGGTGGTCTGTACGAGTAATGTGGAGATATAACAGCGATCATCAGTATGCACTGTTTATGACCAGTGTAATATATGTATATTAAAATCAATTTTTCTTTTGTAGATGTGAAAACCATCCTCAAGTCTGTGTCAGGCCGACTGCGGTCCGGCGAGCTGACAGCCATCATGGGTCCATCCGGCGCCGGCAAATCCACTCTTCTGAATATTCTTACTGGTTACAGGTAGCTATTTTGAACTTTTAAATTGGAGAAATTATTCTTTGATAACATTACTGTCTATATCGCTTTTGCAAATAGACAATAACTTTTTTGTGTTTAATGACCGTATACATAGCTTACCTATGTGCGTAATTAATTATAGGTGTAATAATATATTTGTAACTATCATAAATCTTCTAATACATTGTGTGTTTGTTTAACGCTATTCAGTAAGTATCCGTAGTATCCGTATCCGTTTGCTAATATGATAATATACGACGTTAAAATGGAATACACGACATAAACCACCGAAACCTGCATGACTATGGCAGTCAACAGACTGACCAACAGACATACCAGAATCATTTGGCACTGCGGTACAACCGATTATTCAAAACTGAATCGATTAGTGACATGTGTGTTTACACTACATCTTTGCTACCAGGTACAAAATACGCGGGCACGCCGTCATTGCGGCGGTAAGACCCGTTATGGAGGATTGGCTCGAGAGGCGTCACGGGACCCTCTCATACCGATTGACGCAGGTGATCACTGGGAAGGGATGTTTCGGAGATCACCTGTGTCTGATCACCCGTGTCTGATCCGCAAGGAGCCAACGCCTGAGTGCCCCCACTGCGATGGCCAGACCGTGGACACGGCTCTCCACACGCTGGCAGAGTGCCCGGCGTGGGTTGAGCAGAGGCGAGACCTCGTGGCGGCCATCGGAGTGGGAGTTCTCTCGCTCGATAGCCTGATTGCGGCTATCGTGCGGAGCGAGAGTGCGTGGAACTCTGCCGTCTCCTTCTGCGAGCAAGTTATGCTCGCGAAGGAGACGGCGGAGCGGGACCGGGAGAGTTCTAAACCTCTCCCGGCCCGCCAGGCCCGGGCACGGGCCAGGCAGCGCAGGCGACTCAGGCGCCGGAGGTCGCAGAACGACCTCCGTCCTCCATAAGCGCAGGCCTGGGGGTGACAGGTGAGGCCATCTGTCACCCTAGCAGAAGCAGGCCGGGGTGGCGGCGAGCGCGTTGCGAAGCGCGCTCGCTTCCAGGGAGCACAGGGAACATGGGGTTCCCACACGGGGGGGGGGGGGTCGTCTACTCGTCTGTAGATGACCCGAGGTATGTCGGGGCACCAGGGACTTCCTTTCTAGGGTATACATGGTTCCCGGTCGGTTCGAGTCCGACATGCCACCGACAGGTGGTATCCGAGGGGATCTCCGCACGGGAAAAAAAAAAAAAAAAAGGTACAAAATACGACTATTTAAAAATGACCGAAATGAATTTGGCATTACTAAAATGCGGATGAAGTCTACATCGCTAGTTCCAAGAACCCCATCTTGGAACCAGCGATGTAGATTCCGAGTTCATTTTTGTGGGTATTGACTGCACGAAGAGTATTAAACAATATCTCCAATATAATCGTAGCTGTGTCTTAAGATATAACCAGAATAAGATAGAAAGCGTCTGTAGGCATGTTTCTACATATTTGCAGATATATTGTATCTAATTGATTTTATCGCACGTGAATGTCGTGTCAGATTAAATCGTTAACTGATAACAGAAGACAAAATGGCGGAACAGTTGACAAATTAAAATTTTCTTCGTTTTATTTTGTAATTGGATTTATTCCGATTCTTATCTGGATATTCCGATATGCAGTAGCATGTGTCTAAGATTCAATAGAAATTAACATTAGATAATATTTTTGTTATAGTAAAATGTGATGCCCTCAGCCAATCCTTGCCTTAGACACTTAACGCAACTTGTGAAAGTTCCTTCTACAATACTCATGATCCCAACTAGTATAACCATGTCTTGTGTTCTTGTGCGTTTTTTTTATGGCATAGAGGACCAAAAAATGAAGCTTAGTTCTAAAGTTCCTAGTTCTCTTTTTTTAAAGAACTCCCGCAATAAGAACATATTCGTGTTGCGGGGGACTTTACAAACATACATGAAACGGACACAATGAACACCAAGACTCAGAACAACAATTTATAGATTACACAAAGTGTCGTCCCATGTGGGGATCAAACCCACAACACTCAGCGTAGTAGAAAGCGGCGTGGCGCGGCGGCGGCGACCGCTTAAACCACTACATACACACTTTAAATACATCATCAATATCATCAGCTTTTAATAGTCTACTGCTGAGACATAGGCTTCTCCTTAGAAAGGAGGTTTTGGCCTAGGTTGGTTTGGAGGTTGTTATAGGCTTTGTGTCAAGTTTACCTTCTCTTAGCAGTGCTATTGTCCTGCGCTGTTACCTTCCTCAGTCGGCTCACACCAACGGTATGTGACGCTCCGTCTCCACTCGGAATAGTTAGAATACATATTTCAAACTAACCCTCTCTTGGTGTATAGTTGCGTAGGTAACATTGACGTCGTATTTACATTTGAATTTTCCACTCAAAGTGTCATCATTACATAGCAGAGAGATTGGCGACAGAGGTTATGCAAGCTCCAGCGAACTAGGTCGAGCTAACATTTATCGTACATACCATATATGTAAGCCTTATATCGACATATACATTTCAAATCCAGCAATGTCTGCCAACTTTGGGATGGACAATTTGGAATTGGTAGTATGCGTTTCCATTATTTGACCAAAGTTTACTATGACGAATACTTTATTGTCCATAGTCTATAACTACTAACTTATTGTGATCCTATTAGTACAATTCCATCGTGCGCTGAAACAATTATATCAAACATTTTTCGTAATTGAATAATATTGGTGGGAGGGTCATACTTCGACATGTTTTTCATAAAACCGCTGTTAATCAATTTTTTCGTTGCTTTTCCAAGCACTTGTGACTTGAGTTGCGAGTGACCATGGACGGCGGTAGTCACTTACCATCAAGTAACCTATCTGTTCTTTTTCCCCCTATTCCATAAAAACAAGCAATTACTTTTTAGCAAATATGTGAGATGCTGGGGTGATTAACCTTAACTCTGGTCAACTCGTACGTGTGAGACCTCAAAGACGTAAGTCGGCATGTTTGAAACTTGTTTTGTAAACAAAAAACAAACGCGATTAACCTTATGCCCTCAGTGCTTCGTAAGCTCACATATAATGTTCATCGATCAATATATTACCTTATAACAATAGTCATATAGTAGATGTTCCGATATGTATCGTATTTACATACGATGTTTAACTGTTATATTATTAATTTTGTAAAGATAAACTAAATAAATTAAACGAATGTATAAAAAACAGTGTTGTGACGTCTTGTAAAATAACGAACCTGACATAAACCTACTTTTATAGTTATCTAACGTACTTAAGATAATGCATACATAAAAAAATATTTAAAAAAATGCTTTATTCATATGACTCACTTATCTTTAATACATACGTTTTGTTTATACCTAAATGCAAATATTTTTTCAGTTGTTTGTGTATAGTATAGTATATAATATATATACTTACTCATATTATAAACGTAAAATTCTGTTTTCGTTTCCTCCTTATAGTTCTTAAGCATAGGGCAATGACCGCTTGCTAACTTTACAAACATACATGAAACGGACACAAAAATAAACCAGAGACTCAGAACAACAATTTGTGGATCACTCAAAGTTGAAATCGATCAAACTCGATCGAAGTGGCGTGCAATGGGAGAGGCCTATGTCCAGCAGTGGATTGCGATAGGCTGATGATGATGATGCCAAAGTTGTGTCCTATGTGGGGATGAAACCAACAACACTCAGCGTAGCGGCGTTGCGACCGCTTACACCACTACGCCATCCGTGCATATTAGTACGTGCAGTTAGTCCCGATATTATTAAAAAAAAAACAGCTTTGCGGGCTTCCCCGTGCCAGCTATGTCTGTAAAAATAATAAGGAACTCACGTGTTTATACATCCACAGATAGCTAGTTATAGCTGTTAATTTCGACAAATGTTTGTACGAGGAAAAAAAGGTTTCCTTTTAAAATAGAATAGTTTATTTGCAAAAAATGTGATACATTTATGGACATTTATGGATGTTACATTGAGTACTGAAGCACACATTTCGCCAATATTGACATGCGACAGTCTCTGAGGCTTCAGGTTCGATACCCGGACCGGACAAAAGTGTATAGGGTTTTTCTAAGGAAAAATAGCCTAATAATAAGTTATTACGCTATTTTTCCTTAGAAAAACCCTATACAGTTAAGCCTAAGGAATTAGCTGCCAATATAAGGAGTAACCTCTTTATAGAGACAGCTACCTTGTCGTAAAATATTATCAAAATCGGTCTAGTCGTTTTGAAGAAACAAATCGCAATCACGATTTTTAAATCAAATTTAAACTAGTGGTTTTAGGCATTGGTATTGTGCAAATAACCGTGTGAACAGGGAAAAACCTAATATTTTGATATAACAAACAGATACTTCAATTTTATTTATTTGAATAGATTACATAAATATCGTATTTTAAATTAAAAAATTAAGAAGTTTTACTTATTTGTCTAAGAAATAGCGAAGGCGTTTGAAACTTTTGAATAAGTACTGTTATTTCCCGTGATTCACTTACGAAAACCCAAAACCAACCTTTCCAAGCATTCAATCATCAATGAATTTAATCAGAAACTCGTTAAAATAAAATTTATAAAAATATTTCCTTCATTGCAGCCGGACTTAGTTATCAGCGACATCGTGAAGTGGGTCGAATGTCCGATCACTCGCATTGCCATTTACGCAGTTGCGTTACAAACTGTATAAGAAAGAGACAATGATACCTTACCTATGTCTATCTCTATCACTTGTCTGCTAATTAGACATGGAAATAATTGCTACTTTAAATCATATTCATTTGATGAAATGATTGTTTATAGACAGCGATTTCACATGTGATTTCGTCATTAACAAAGATGTGGCACTAAAATCAATTAATTTTTTTTTATCAAAAGACCTTTTTTTCCTTTAGATTTATTCAGTCACAGGGGTGATGAACTTCTTTTTACATCATATGATTTATCACATGTGATTGCGATTTTATTCCAACCCTACTGCTAATCATACAAAAAATACCGAAAGT